TAGAATTCGAAAAACATCACCCATTAATGTTAACCCCTTAACAACCCTGTAGGTTTACGAAAATTCTTTGGTCTAAGTTGCTCTAATTATTTTTGTGTGTAAAATATTCTTAAAATCGTTTCAACCGGTTTTTGCGTAATCGTTATTTTATTATTGCATTATTTTTTATTTATTGTTGATCTTAAGATCAAACGAGCTTACCTAAGTGAAGTTCGATCTTGATTATATACAGCCCTTCGCCCGAAATGATCAAACTGTAGTACTTCCTACTTGCTACACGCTTACCACACTTAAAAGCAAGAAAAAAAAAAAGTCCCTATAAATGATCCCCAAACTGCAACCAGCTTGGTAACAAAACCGTCATTTCTTTTTAAAGCACAAGACGAGTAGAACCTCTGGTCCGCAACCAAGAAATGAAATCAGGGTCTATTAAGAGGGAGGGCGGGAGTGATCATTTCGGGCGAAGGGCTGTATATAATCAAGATCGAACTTCACTTAGGTAAGCTCGTTTGATCTTAAGATTATATCACGCCCTTCGCCCTCTATGATCAAACTGTCGACGTTTAAAGCAGGTTGCGACACTACAATAGAGAGAAAAATATCGCTTTATTTTAAATCTATTAAAATAAGGACAGATTAATCATAGTAAAAACTAAAACAACATATTGTCTTAAGATGATAAATGAAACTACATTTTAAATATATAACTAATAAGACTAATCACTTTTCGAAAACACAGTTTCAGCAAAGATTCCTTTTGATTGCAGAGGTCGATTATAGAATAAGGCAAACATCTGCGAAGTCTCTGTCCAACCCGCAGTTCTTCTAATAATGTCTATACTTAAGCCCTTACGGTTGGCTGCAGAATGCAGATGTACTCGCATGCCGTGTAGAGTAAGCTGAATAATTTTTATCGACCCCGCATTCCAGTAAGGTGTCCTTTAACCACCTGCTTATAGTTTGAACGGAAACAGAATGAAACGGTTTTTTAAAAGAAATAAACAAACTTCCTGTAGTTGGAGATGCGCGATATTCTCTAGTCCTACTTAAATATGAGTCAAGACAACTTGCTACGCACAACTGAGGTTTATCTTTGAAATAAGGAACAAAAAGAACAGGTTGAGTGCGTTGCCGACCCGAAGTTTTAATTCGATCCGAGATTTTTATTTCAAAAGCGTTAGATTTTTTAATAATATTGTCAATCTTGATCAAAGAAAGGGTTTGAATGCGATGACCAGTTGACAAGGCCAAAAGCATTACATTTCTGGGAAAAAATTCTGAAATTTAATTTTTATTTTTGGTCAACGATCTTCAAATACTTCGGGATACGGAACATTCCAAACCGGCGATTCCAAGCCGGCAATGCACGAACCGGCGACGTGCCAAGCCGGCGCTCGGTCATGCCGGCGTGTGTCAAGGCGGCATATGAGCGCTTGTTCAGTCGATGCGATCTGCAAATTATGTAACATCCACATTTTGAATGCATGGATGGCCATAATATGAACATGTCGATGGAATTCTCAGATTATTTTAGGTGGGGTACTGGAGGGTTTGTTAGCACTTTAACTATGATTTTCAAAGTGGTCAAACAAGAGAAATCAGATTAACTAAGTACATATAACTGTTCTGTCGGCATTGGCATTGATCGTAACTTTTAATAGATAGGTACTATGCGTTTTATTAATCCAATCCACACAAAGGAATGCATCCGGTTGAACGAGCGCCGGCAAGGCATAGCGCCGGTTTAACTGAACGCCGGTTTGGCATAGCGCCGGCTAGTCGTCGCCGGTTTGGCCATTGCCGGTTAGGGAATCGCCGGTTCATAGTGTACCATTCGGGATACATTTTTGTTTCACGAATATTTTAATTACATTTTTCATACCACCATGGACTTTATTATATTAACACCTTACTTGATTATCGGCCGGTCGTGCTGATGCAAGTTATGAAGCACTAAGAGGCACTAACGAAGCACTAACGATTAGTACCTGTCCGGTCGTTAGTGCTTTCAACGAGGGTAGGAAGTCAGCACTACATAAGGAGGGGTCGTTTTCTCGGAAACGGCCGGTCGTGCTGATGCAAGTTATGAAGCACTAAGAGGCACTAACGAAGCACTAACGATCGGTACTTGTCCGGTCGTTAGTGCTCTCAACGAGGGTAGGAAGTCAGCACTACATAAGGGAGGGTCGTTTTCTCGGAAATGGCCGGTCGTGCTGATAGCAAGTTATGAAGCACTAAGAGGCACTAACGAAGCACTAACGATCGGTACTTGTCCGGTCGTTAGTGCTCTCAACGAGGGTAGGAAGACAGCACTACATAAGGGAGGGTCGTTTTCTCGGAAACGGCCGGTCGTGCTGATGCAAGTTATGAAGCACTAAGAGGCACTAACGAAGCACTAACGATCAGTACTTGTCCGGTCGTTAGTGCTTTTAACGAGGGTAGGAAGTCAGCACTACATAAGGGGGGGTCGTTTTCTCGGAAACGGCCGGTCGTGCTGATGCAAGTTATGAAGCACTAAGAGGCACTAACGAAGCACTAACAATGTGATCATGTACCGTCGTTAGTGCTTTCAATGACCGTGCTAACTTCACGGACCTCGATTTAGCACACTAGTTACAAAATTCGCAAATGTTACTTTTAGGCAAAACTAATATTTGCGAATGGAAATATTTAAAATGCATCACTGACTTTCCCAAAGAGTTCTCTTCTTAACCTCGTCAACAATATTCTTCGTAAGCATAAAATACTACCAAAGCAAAAAATTGTGCACACGTGCATATGCACAGCCACACAAACATATATAGCAAGTTTCGCAAAATCGTTCATTAGAGTGTCAATGTCCAATTGTTACATTAATTCTGAAGCACAGAACAGAGACCTGACTTCTGTGTAATTTTACACGAAATTTAATGTTAGCGTAATATGAGATGTTTATGGAATTATGAATCTGGTATCTCTAAACATCGTATAGTGTCAGAAATATCAATACGAACATTTGTCAATTTAAGCGCCATGTCATTACGATTAGCAAATCAAATGCAATACAATTCGAATTTTAACCATTGTTAAAGCAAAAAATATTTAAAACCGGCGGCGCGGCGCCTGATATATCCGTTGCACCATGAACACGACCTTGCCCTTAAGGACGGCTCCCTGAGTTCACTTTCCATTACAATTTCCACCGATCTACCACAACAAGCTCGAAGTAAGATAAATTTGTAAGATGGGATACGCACGTAAACAAAAATTAAAAAAATTTAAAATGAAACTATGATATTTGATCCATACAAGAAACAATGGGTCTTTATACAACTGTGAGTGGTATTTAATCATAACATGAAATTGGGTCTGCTACACATTGTAGTGTTAGTTAAATATGGGGTTGGTACTGGTGACTGTCAACGAGAACAGTTGATAACTTCGTGCGAGTCTTAAGTGTAATGTCGTTGTCTGTCATGTGTAGGAAATGACTCTTATAATAATAATCATAATTGCTGTATGCATTTATTATTAAAGTCCATTTTAATAAATTCCTGCAGTTGTTAATGTAACCGATCGATCCCTTATATGACACAACATATCTGGCGACGAGGCTTTGAACCTGAAGCGTGAACATAAAGCGTCGTTTGTGACCGTGAAACCTAAAACAAAATGGCTCTTATTGGTACAATCCTTCTCTTATATATATGGTACAATCGAACCGTTTGCACCTGGAACTTCGGATATCGAAGCATACATAGAAAGAATGGATCTGCTATTTATCTGTAATATAGTCGAAGAAGATAAAAAGGTTCCGTTGTTTCTAACTTTAATAGGAACGGAAACATACTCGATTTTAAAAGACCTGGTATCACCAGATAACCCCAAGAGTAAAAGCTACAGTCAGTTAAAGGAAGCGCTAACTACACATTTTAGTGCAAAAAAGATTGTCATAGCAGAGAGGTTTCGTTTCTATCGGTGTAGTCAGGGGGTGAATGGGTCTGTGGGGGAATTTGTCCGAAAGTTGAAGAAACTTGCACGGGATTGCCAATTTGGAACATTTTTAAGTGAAGCTTTGCGTGACCGATTTGTATGCGGGTTATTAAAGGAGAACATTCAAACGAAATTGTTGTCGGAGAGTGACCTTACGTTCGAGAAAGCATGCAGTACAGCACTCTCCATGGAAACTGCATCTGAGCAAACAAAAAGTCTACAACCAGCTGATGTCAACAAAGTTATGAAAAAACAGCAGTTCAAAACGTCAAAAGTTTATCCAACTCACGAAAGTCAAGGTGATCGTGAGAACTTCAAGTTCAGCAAAAAGGAAAACTACAAGCCATGCTTTCGTTGTAATCGAAAACATAACCCAAGTACGTGTCCGGCAGCTAATTGGGATTGCTTCCTATGTCATAGGAAGCTAGCCCAAGTAACACGAGAAATACTTTTATGCCACCATAGCCAAAAATTAGCTGTGAAAACGTTTTCGCAGTACCTTAATCGCTGAATATTGGCAAGCTGCAATGTAGCTTTACTATTTGGCTGTAGCAGCGCTACTAAAGTTCCAACTGTTGGAAAATAAGCTTGGAATTCCATTTGGCAGTTATTTGGTCATCACATCGCTTAGAAAGCAACAGATTTTGCCATGTGACAGTCATTTAAGTGCGCTGCATTTTAGCTTAAATTTTAGGTGGGACAGCGCTACCTTAACCTCATAAGAAAGCGAATTCGCTTGAAATTCTGTTTGGTTGAGATTTGGCAGTTAGGTTAGTCATTTCAGCCGCGAATTCTGGCATTCTGGATTAAAAAAGCAGCTGATTTGTGTTTATAAGTATATAAGCGATTCTTATAGGTGTTATTATTAGTTATGGGGAAGTTCAAACTCTCAAGTGCTAATTTTCAAAAATTGAAAAATTTCAAATTAAGTGGAACCTATTATAGACACATTAAAAAGTCGGTGAAGTCGGACTTTACAACTATCAATGCTACGAAAGAGTACGAAATAAACATTTAAGACATTTAACATTTAAGTGAAACCAATGATATACAAATCCCTAATCAGGTGTGTGATTTTACATTTAAACCAATATTCTACTTTAAACCTTTACCTATACACTTACAGAAACTGCCTCTTTCCTTATTACCAGTTGATGAAACAATCGATTCATCAAACAGTGACGATCAAGAATGCGTTGAAGAAAGTTATTTACGAAATAACAGTGACTCGCAAGATGAAGATGTAATAACTTACAATTTCAATGAAAAGTTACGACAATGGGCCATTTCATTTAATATCTCTCATGTTGCCATTACAGCATTGTTAACGATGTTACATGTACTTAAATTACCTAACCTACCAAAATCATCAAGAACACTTTTACAAACCCCCAGAGAAACAACAATTGCGAAAATGGGCAATGGCCATTATTGGCATAATATGGACTCGAAAAGGGAATTGTTAACTTACTACCTAAGATTGATAGTGCAACTAATTTAGAATTAAGTTTCAATATTGATGGGTTACCAATATACAACAGTACAAAAATGGAATTTTGGCCCATTTTGTGTTTAATAAACAATATGCGAAACTTGCATCCATTCGTAGTGGGCATTTATTGTGGTACCACCAAACCACCCAGTGTTCAGGGTTATTTAACACCATTTGTAGAAGAAATAAAACCTCTTTTAAAGAATGGGATTTTCATTAATGGAATAAAATGCAGTTTAAAGGTGAGATGCTTCATTTGCGACACTCCAGCTCGTTCATTTGCAAAAGGTAAGGATACTAAGGTATAGGAAATAGCAGAATTTAAATTTTAATTGCAGGTGTTGTGAATTTCAATGCATATAACAGATGCACAAGATGTACGGTCATTGGAGAATACAATCATGAATCTCATCGTATGAGTTTTCCGCGCATTGATTTGAACGTAATTTGGCTCAAACACTTAAATTATGATTAAAAACACTACTATTAATAAACAAAAACAACGCTTCGCTTAACACTCGCGAGTTCAGAACTATTCGTCATGTTACAGATTAGCGCAGATGGATATTTCGATGCACGCAATTTGGTATGTTTCTATAGACGGTAAAGGCAGGAGTTCGAATCCGACCACCTCCAGAGAATCGCTACTAAAAAAAGTATGTGTAGGTGAAAACGATGGCGGTATGAAACGCGCTAATAAAAAAAATGTGTATGGTAGGAACAAATAGGATCCGCAGAAACACCAATAATGAATTAATTTTATTTTTTTTTCCTTTTTAATAAAAACAGATTTAGGCTGCAGTTTGGTCACAGTGTTGGCTGTCGTGACGTTATGACAGCGCATAATTTTAACTGACGTTAACGTTAACGATGCGCTTTTGCTGCTCGACATTCTAACCACCACTGCCAATCCAAATGGCTGAGGTGACGTCTTAGCAGCTTGATTATGACTCGCCATTTTGGCAGTAGGTACGTCTTCACATCGCTGCTACATTTCTTTCGCAGAAACTGCGCCAAACTATTTGGCTGCGAGTATAGCTGCAAATACGTACTGATGGCCATTATACAGCACGTTGTGTTACTTGGGAGGGGCACACCTCAACAGTATGCCGTGCAAAGAAGAGCAGGTGGGTCAGTCAAGTCGAAGAGATGGAGTCCGAACATCAAGGGGGGCGTGGACGTGCTAGAATTAAACCAAGTTACAGCTGTAGGAGAAGAAAACGGCGACCTGCAAGGGGTTCATTCCTTAACGGCGGAAATGAATACAGTTCGCAGTCTCGCAATCAGTCACGTATCAAACAAAAAGTCGGTACCTGTCCTATGTAAAGTCTATGTAAATAATAATCCAATAGTTATGGAAATAGACACAGGGGCAGCTGTAAGTATTTGTTGTCAACAATACTTTAGTTGTAATTTTAGCTCGGAGCGAATAAGAGGTACAGACATTAAAATGCAAGATGTCGGGAAACGAGATCAAGAGTGTAGGACAAATGAATGTAAGAGTGTCGTTGAGTGCTACTGGTCCAAGTCATATGTTGTCGTTGATTGTATCTAGAACGAAAAATAGTTCCTTCCCGCTCATGGGTCGGAATTGGCTTGATGTAATATTACCGTCATGGCGAAGTGCCTTTAGTCCTTATTCAAGGAACTTTGACACCAGTATATGTTCTATTACGGGGAACGATATTGTCTCAGATTTAAAAAAGCAATTTCCCAAAGTCTTTTCCGAAAACAAAGTCAATGGCATAACTGGTATCAAGGCTCGTTTAGTTCTAAAAGATGATGCGAGTATGGTTTATCACAAAGCATATACAGTGCCATACAAAATGAAAGAGTTGATAGAAAGTAAGTTAAAGACCATGATTAAAGATGGTATTCTAATTCCGGTAACACACGCAGATATTGCTAGTCCCATAGTGTGTGTTCCAAAACAAAATGGTGGTATTCGAATATGTGTAGATTTTAAGAAAACCCTTAACCCTGTCCTGAGAACCGATTACTACCCTCTCCCTACCTTGGATGAAATCTGTCATAATATCAAGAATGGTAAAGTTTTCACAATTCTAGATCTGTCGGAGGCGTATTTGCAATTACCTGTCGAAGAGCAAAGTCAAGAGCTCTTAACTATCAACACCCATATGGGCTTAATGAGATTCACTAGACTTCCATATGGCGTCTCAAGTGCTCCTGCAATTTTTCAGTCTACCATGGAAAGGGTCCTAGAAGGTCTTAAGGTAGGAATTTATATTGATCCCAGTCAACATTGTAACGTAACCGATTCATAAATATAATAGTTAACTAGGTGGTTCGTTATGTATCTAGTAACTTAAATGTTACATGCAAGTAACACAAAACGCCTAGCACTGTTATGTAACGGTGTAACGTAACGAATACGTCACGCTATGTAACATACATGTATATATATGTTACATGAACGTAATAAGTAACACAACGGAATGTCACAACAAATAACCCAGTTATGTATCGTATATAGGTACAAACATACATTACATTAGAGTAATATGTAATGCAACTGAAGGTTTAAGCAAATATGTAACATATATGTAACATTACGTTGCATGGGGGTTGTATATGTAACGCAACTGAAGGTTACAGTAAATATGGTAGTTACATAACAAATATGTATATCTTAGTATACATGAGAGCCTTATGTAACGCAAACGAAGGCTACAGTAATGTAAAAATAACTAAATGCAGCAGTGAAAAAATAAAGATATATTCTTATAAAATAAAACAAAATAACAATTCCTAAAAATGTAGAATATTATCACAATAGATACATTTCAAATATTCATTAATAATATATAATAAAATTATTGATTTTGGAGAGGTTTTTCTCTTGACTGTCTCAGCGTGCTTAAGCGTAACCACTCACCCACCGTCAATTCAATGGCACTTTCGCTAGTGTCGGGGAAAGTTTGCCGAACGGCATCTGGATAAAAGAAAGTTCTATAAGGCAAACTGCGTTCCCACCAAAACAGTTTTCATTATGTAAAAATAGTGCATCAATTCCAAATGCTTGAACGGAAAATGATTCGTTTTCCCAAGAAGGGAACAGCTAATCCCCAAACAAAAAAAGGTGGAATATAAATTTATACTTACACAAACACTGAACCAAAACAACACCGACTTATTTCAATATAGCGTCAAAAAGAACTTTATCTTTCGCTTGAAGTTGACTGTTGAGGTTATGTGTCCCGCAGCCGTTAACCTTTACTTTTCACTAGAGGTATATGCGTACTTCTTTTCAGATATACTTCACCTAACGAAATAGGTAATATGAATTAATTGTATTAGAAAATAACGGTTTAACATCAAAAAGAAACAAGTTTTTACCTCTTCCCACAAAAAACCGTAGATAAACACCACAAAAATTCCGTTCATCAACCGCATTCGCGTGTCACATAGGAGATAGTAATGGCGTCTCACGACAGTACGAGACTGCGCAAAAGGTGGTGTACCTATTTTATGGATAAGAAAAGAAATTTTGTATTAACAACCTTGATGTACCTTCATATTCCATTATAGCTCATCATTAGAATGTCCACTTTGAGACTTTGACTTCCCTAAGACCCTAACAGTGCTTCAAGCGGTTTGGGCCAATTTCAACCACTATGTTACATATCATTTCGGTTACAATTGTAACATAACTTTGATACCTTCTAGAACCCTGTCAGTTATATAAGTGATTATTACGTGTTTGGTATAGAACATTCCAACTTCTATGTTACATCTCATTTCGATTACAATTGTAACATAACTTTGTTACCTTCTAGAGCCCTTTCAGTTATGTAAGTGATTTTTACGTGTTTGGTATAGAACATTCCAACTTCTATGTTACATATCATTTCGATTACAATTGTAACATAACTTTGTTACCTTCTAGAGCCCTTTCAGTTATGTAAGTGATTATTACGTGTTTGGTATAGAACATTCCAACTTCTATGTTACATATCATTTCGATTACAATTGTAACATAACTTTGTTACCTTCTAGAGCCCTTTCAGTTATGTAAGTGATTTTTACGTGTTTGGTATAGAACATTCCAACTTCTATGTTACATATCATTTCGATTACAATTGTAACATAACTTTGTTACCTTCTAGAGCCCTTTCAGTTATGTAAGTGATTATTACGTGTTTGGTATAGAACATTCCAACTTCTATGTTACATATCATTTCGATTACAATTGTAACATAACTTTGTTACCTTCTAGAGCCCTTTCAGTTATGTAAGTGATTATTACGTGTTTGGTATAGAACATTCCAACTTCTATGTTACATATCATTTCGATTACAATTGTAACATAACTTTGTTACCTTCTAGAGCCCTTTCAGTTATGTAAGTGATTATTACGTGTTTGGTATAGAACATTCCAACCTCTATGTTACATATCATTTCAGTTACAATTGTTACATATCTTTGTTACCTTTTAGAGCCCTTTCAGTTACATATCATTTCAGTTACAACTGTAACATATCAATGTTACTTATTAGAGCTCTTTCAGTTATGTAACTGAGAGTTACGTGTTGACTGGGATGATGTAATTATAAGTGGACGTAACTTTACCGAGTGTTACACAAAAGTCAAAGAAGTATTATCTCGTTTCGAAAAGCATAATATTAGAATAAATAAGGACAAAAGTATATTTTTTAAACCAGAAGTGGAATTCTTGGGATATAAATTAGTTGAAGGAGGCCTTCAGCCACTACAATCTAAAGTGACAGAAATTAAAAACGCACCTGTTCCAAGAGATGTTACGCAATTAAGGTCATATGTGGGATTATTAAATTTTTATAGTAAATTTATCCCAATGCTTTCAACTATTCTACATCCACTTTATGGATTGTTAAGAAAAGACGTGGTGTTCTGTTGGAATGATGAATGTCAAACAGCTTTTGATAAATCAAAAGAATTGTTGGGGCATTGTTTTACCTTAACTCATTACAACCCGGATAACGAAATCATCATTACCACAGATGCATCCGCATATGGATTAGGTGCCGTTCTAAGTCAAAAGGTAAATAATGAAGTAAAACCTGTTATGTACGCATCCTGTACATTAAGCGCAGCAGAGAAGAATTATTCTCAAGTGGAGAAGGAGGCACTGGGTATAGTATTCGCTATCAAAAAATTTCATAAATTTATATTTGGACACAAATTTACATTGATCACAGATCATGAACCTCTAAAAACAATTTTTGGCAGCAAGAAAAGTATACCAACTCTGTCACATTCACGATTACAAAGATGGGCTATCATATTGTCGGGATATGAATACAACATCATTTATAAAAAGGGATCAGAAGTGGCAAATGCAGATGGATTTAGTAGACTACCATTAAAACTAAATTCGGGAGTCCAAGAAGTTTTATCATTCACAAACATGGAGGAGCTACCCGTTACAGCTGAAGTAGTAAGGTCCGAAACTGGAAAAGACTTAAACCTGATAAAAGTTCGGCAGTACGTCAAGGAAGGATGGCCACAACAATGTCCAAATGAAACATTAAAACCATATTTTAGTAGAAGAATGGAAATCACCATTGACAACGATTGTCTCAGTTGGGGATGTAGGGTGATTATTCCAAAAACCTTACGTGAACATGTGTTGGAGTTATTACACGATCAACATCCAGGAATCGTGCGAATGAAGCTACGAGCAAGAAGCGATATCTGGTGGCCTGGAATAACACAGGATTATTGAAGAGAAAATCAGAAACTGCGAAGAATGTCAAATATATGCCAATAATCGACAAGAAGGAAAAATGTTGCAGTGGCCGTTAGCGACGAACAACTGGCAGAGAGTTCATGCAGATTTTTTCAAATTTGAAGGCATCGAATTCCTGATAATTATCGACAGCAAAACAAGATGGTTAGAGGTATTTATGATGCCACAGGGAACTAATGCAGCGAAAACAATTTCTAAATTTAGAACTGTTTTCTCTTGTTTTGGATTACCAGAAATTCTGATAACCGATAATGGTCCCCCATTTAATAGCAAGGAATTTGAAATTTTTTGTAGATCAAATGGGATCCAACTAAAACACAGCCCGCCATATCATCCACCAAGCAATGGGGCGGTTGAGAAACAAGTCCATACCACTAAAAGGAACCTCCAAAAGCAATTATTCCAAAGTTCAAAATGCACAGAAACCATAACGCTCTAACATAAATTGGATAATTTTTTATTTAATCATCGGAATACTCCAAATTCTGTAACGAAGAGAACACCAGCTGAAATGATGATGGCAAAGAAACCAAGAACCAAAATTACTCTGCTAAAACCCAGTAATCTGGAAAATAAATCTGAAGAGGACTACAGAGAAAGGACAGTAGAATATGAAAATAATCGGCGGATAAATCGAAATTTATTTCTGGAAGGAGAGTACATATGGGCATACGAGGTCAAAGAAAAAAAATGGATCCCTGGGAAAATTATGAAAGCCGTGGGAGAATACACCTACTTGGTGTTGGCGTCAGGACGAGTAAGGTACATGCATGGCGATCATTTGAAAAAGCGCAGCAGAGCAGGAATGGAAAATGAAATCGTTCAAGAAAGCAAGACACCAGAATCTACGAGTTATCTTCCACCTGCTCTTCCACTACCCGAAGTCAGAGATCAGGTCCACATGCCAGAAATGGTGGGACCGCGGGTTGAGGATGAAGTACGGCTTCGTGATGGCCCTTCAACGGGTCCACCACCAGAGGGAAGCACGGAAGCCCAGCCTGTTGTGAGGGATGTTCCATCCCCTTCCCTCCGTAGATCCAAACGAACGGTTATACCACCTAACCGCTTAAATTTGTAAGTATTTTAATATGTTTTTTTTGTAAGTGACGACTTTAAAATAAGAGGGGAGAAATGTAGTGTTAGTTAAATATGGGGTTGGTACTGGTGACTGTCAACGAGAACGGTTGATAACTTCGTGCGAGTCTTAAGTGTAATGTCGTTGTCTATTGTCATGTGTAGGAAATGACTCTTATAATAATAATCATAATTGCTGTATGCATTTATTATTAAAGTCCATTTTAATAAATTCCTGCAGTTGTAACCGATCGATCCCTTATATGACACAACACACATCTAAATATACCATCAATGATACCATTTTTAATTGGGACAAACGATTACATACTTTATGTAAACTGTACAAGCCCACAGAGCAACTCTTGACCTTCCCTAAGGTTTGATGCACTTGCATACATGCTATACCCTAAGTACAATAATTTATCGATTATTCTCAATTCCGAAATATTGCTTACTATATAATCTTCCTTCCCAAGATGCTCCAAAAATTCAACTTTTTATTTGTTTTCAGAATGTTTCAAAAGAGATACATATTTAGATTCATCGATTCGCCCCTATTGCAACTGCTTCCTAATAGCAAATTTCATTATAGGAATTTTTTCTCGATATTGTTTCTAATGTAGTAGTTTTTACTAGTGTAGGGTAGATTAACCCCTTAAACTCTAAATATTTGCAAAGCTATACGTTCATAGCACTTCTTATATTAGTATCTAATATTAATTTAAGTATGAACTTGTTACAAATTTTTTTCCACCCTCTACGAATTTTTTAATGTTTTTACTAATGTAGGGTGGATTAACCCCTTAAACTCTAAATATTTGCAAAGCTATACGTTCATACCACTTCTTTTATTAGTATCTAATATTAAGTTAAGTATGAATTTGTTACAATTTTTTTCCACCCTCTACGAATTTTTTTATGTTTTTACTAGTGTAGGGTAGATTAACCCCTTAAACTCTAAATATTTGCAAAGCTATACGTTCATAGCACTTCTTATATTAGTATCTAATATTAATTTAAGTATGAACTTGTTACAAATTTTTTTCCACCCTCTACGAATTTTTTAATGTTTTTACTAATGTAGGGTGGATTAACCCCTTAAACTCTAAATATTTGCAAAGCTATACGTTCATACCACTTCTTATATTAGTATCTAATATTAATTTAAGTATGAATTTGTTACAAATTTTTTTCCACCCTCTACGAATTTTTTTATGTTTTTACTAGTGTAGGGTAGATTAACCCCTTAAACTCTAAATATTTGCAAAGCTATACGTTCATAGCACTTCTTATATTAGTATCTAATGTTAATTTAAGTATGAACTTGTTACAAATTTTTTTCTACCCTCTACGAATTTTTTAATGTTTTTACTAATGTAGGGTGGATTAACCCCTTCAACTCTAAATATTTGCAAAGCTATACGTTCATACCACTTTATACATATATTAGTATCTAATATTAATTTAAGTATGAACTTGTTACAAATTTTTTTCCACCCTCTACGAATTTTTTAATGTTTTTACTAATGTAGGGTGGATTAACCCCTTAACTCTAAATATTTGCAAAGCTATACGTTCATACCACTTTATATATTAGTATCTAATATTAATTTAAGTATGAACTTGTTACAAATTTTTTTTCCACCCTCTACGAATTTTTTAAGGTTTTTACTAATGTAGGGTGGATTAACCCCTTAAACTCTAAATATTTGCAAAGCTATACGTTCATAGCACTTCTTATATTAGTATCTAATATTAATTTAAGTATGAACTTGTTACAAATTTTTTTCCACCCTCTACGAATTTTTTAATGTTTTTACTAGTGTAGGGTGGATTAACCCCTTAAACTCTAAATATTTGCAAAGCTATACGTTCATACCACTTCTTATATTAGTATCTAATATTAATTTAAGTATGAACTTGTTACAAATTTTTTTCCACCCTCTACGAATTTTTTATGTTTTTACTAGTGTAGGGTAGATTAACCCCTTAAACTCTAAATATTTGCAAAGCTATACGTTCATAGCACTTCTTATATTAGTATCTAATGTTAATTTAAGTATGAACTTGTTACAAATTTTTTTCCACCCTCTACGAATTTTTTAATGTTTTTACTAGTGTAGGGTGGATTAACCCCTTAAACTCTAAATATTTGCAAAGCTATACGTTCATACCACTTCTTATATTAGTATCTAATATTAATTTAAGTATGAACTTGTTACAAATTTTTTTCCACCCTCTACGAATTTTTTTATGTTTTTACTAGTGTAGGGTGGATTAACCCCTTAAACTCTAAATATTTGCAAAGCTATACGTTCATAGCACTTCTTATATTAGTATCTAATGTTAATTTAAGTATAAACTTGTTACAAATTTTTTTCTACCCTCTAAGAATTTTTTAATGTTTTGTTTTTAGTGTAGGGTAGATTATACCTTTATATTTTAAATATTTGCAAAGTTATATCTTTGACAATTGGGTACTAACCCTTTAACCCTATTTTTTTTAGTAATAAATTATAATTTCGAAGTATTTATATGGTCCACTGTAAAAATTCGTTTCTCATTTCTGAAGCTGATGCTAACTTCAACGACGTATTAGGGAAACGTAGGACCCAGGATAATTAATAATTCATAATGTTTCTAAGAATTTTAAATGTACTACTTGTGATTATGAAACAAATTATAAATTTGATCTTAACAAACACCTTTTAAAAAGTAAAGTTTTGAAGGATTTTAAATGTGGTATTTGTGATTATGTAATCTATTAATGCTTGTGGGTTCTGGTTTTCTCAGACTAATTCGCGGATTCCGTCTCAAGAAACCATCCAGCCAGTCTCTGCCGGCAAGTCTTTTTTGTTCGGAGAATGGATGCTTCAAATTCTTCTTTGATGCATAGTCAAAGGCGCAACGCTTGATTTCTTCTGGTGTTAAACCAAAAAAAAGTTTTGAAAGTCTAATAACGGTCATTGCTAATTCTTCTTCTTTCTCCTTAGAAAACACTGGTCTTCTTCCAAAGGTAGGGGCTGCAACATTTCCAATTGCTAATCTTCCTTGTAATGTGCTGCGTGGGATTGAAAATGCCCGAGAAACTTCTCGAACTTTTCTTCCGGCAATCACAGCACTTACAGCATTATACATATCTTGGGCAGTCCATTGTCCTTTACTGGAAGTCCTTCCGTATTTACAAGGCATCTGTAGAGTTCACGATTTTAACAATCGTACGATTAAATGAATCGGGGTAATCACGGCCGGCCGGCATTTCCCGCAACGATGTGGCCGTTATTGCCCCATATATACACTACAGTCAAGATTATGGTGCTGTGGTGTGAAAACTTAATAGACCATCGTATAGCTACTTTAAAGACGTTTACAACAGTGTATAATTCATTATGTTAATATAAGTTTATCATAATGTTACTTACCTAATCAATAACAAAATAAAAAGCAAAAGATCGGCAGGACCTGACGACTTTCCTTGTTTTTTGGTTCGTATAATCTCTCACGTAATTGTGAGGCCCTTAACATTTTTAATTAGGTAATTTATCCTTTTTAAGTGGCGCGTTTCCAGAAGCCCTTAAACTGGCAAAAATTATCCCAGTTCACAAAAAGGGGAATAAATACACTCCAAACAATTTTAGACCTATCTCTATAACATCCGTCTTCTCAAAAATTTTTGAGTATTGCTTTTTGGATAGACTAGAAAGATTTATTGAAAAATGTAAAACATTGATACCTAACCAGTTTGGCTTTAGACCTAATAAATCCACAACTGATGCAATTCTTTTCTTCTACGATACAGTGCTTCAGTCGATAGGGAAAAAAGAACTGCCTATTGGGATATACTGCGATATCACGAAAGCATTTGACTGTGTCAACCATAATCTACTGTTACAGAAATTGTCTTGCTACGGCGTCAGAGGCACTGCCCTGAATTGGCTGGAAAAGTTTCTAAAAAATCGAACGCAGTAGGTATGTCTCATTGCGACATAGTAATAAGGGATACACTACTAACATTAATTCAGACATCATAAAGCTAAACGTGGATACACCCACACTCCGATGATGAATCGCGTTGAGGATATATATTTTTTTTATTTTCTTTACCTTTCCGTCTTTGCAATGCCGTGTTTCTGTTTTCTCTTTCTATTCTTGCTTTTTTTAATTTGATCTCCTGCTTCTTTTTTTCTTTTGCTTGCTTATCTTTTTCCCTTTTCTCCAACTCTCTTTTCACCGGAGTACTTGATATGTGTAGCGAAGGCAATTTTGCCCTTTGTTTTCTAACTTTCGGTGCAGCACTTGGCATGGGTGGTAAACCTATCGGTTCTTTTGTAGGGGTTCTTTCCCATACACGAGGAGTGTCCGTTTCTTCGCTAATAATACGAGAAGGTCCAGCTACAGGGCTAATGGCTCGAACAGGAGAAGAAGCTTCCTTGGTTCTCAACCTTGGCATTGAACTGTTATCGATCACATTTTGGCATGGTTCATTTTCTTCTTGTCCTTTCGCAATTTTAGCAGTTTCTTCGCGTACTTGTGCATGTTTAGTAGATGGATCTGGTTTTTCTGTAACAAGGGAGGGCTCAAAATCACTGTCATTAAATATCTGGGAGTTCAGTGGTGTTAGGTTTGATGTGGAAATTAGCCAGGAAGCAATAACTCGGTTAATTACATTTATATATTGAAAAGGAACATTGAGAAAAAGAACTTAATACAAAACACAAGGTACAGCTAAAACGACATTCACACACTCCTACCTTAGTTTTCTAACTCAATGCTCCTACCTTACATGTGCAGTGTTGCCACTACTACTTAATTGCTATAGGTTTGTAAACTAAAATGTGTATACTAACAAGTGGAAGTAGTCCTGTGGATTTAAAGGCTCTCTCAGCATTACGAGTTGTAGCTACTGTGCTGTAGGCCACGTTGAACATACCAGCAACATCTTTAATTCCAATGGTTTGTCCTGGATGTTCCATCAAAAAATCATTGCAGGCACGACTGTATGCTGTTTTGAACGGACCGTAGAAACCAACATCAAGTGGCTGCATACGATGGCTTGTATGTGGCGGAAATCCTAGGATAGTAATGTAATTTTCGCGGCACATGTTTACAGCCTGCAATGTTACGTGCGACGAATGATTGTCCATGAGTAGGAGGATTTGGTTAGAATTGCTCGGCCTAACATGTTTTACAAAATGTTCTAACCATTGGACAACTGTTTCAGATTTCATCCAGCCTGACTCATTGCAAGCGGCTCCTGATCCAGTTGGGGCGTTAGCCAAAAAGTGCGACTGCATACGTACACGTGGATAAATAAAGAAAGAGGGCACGTAGTGGCCGGTTGCATTGAAGCAGCACGCAACACTGACGTTCACGCCCCGTTCGCCCGAAGAGACTTTTACAACTCGGCGGTTTCCAGTTGGGCTCAGTACATTTGGTGTCTTGGTGGGTACTGTTGAGCAACCAGTTTCATCTATGTTGTAGATCTGTTGAGGTTCAAATTTCTTGTTTGCAAGGATTTCTTTATAGAGATCGAAGAATGATTCGACGTTATTTTTGTAACATAATGTACAAGTTAGGTACATGCGCCACTACCGGACGTCAACCTACAGACGACATCGGTTCAATCAATAATGGGTACGGTCGGAAATTTACTTCAAAAAGTATCAGTAATTAAAGTAATGCAATCGCAGTAAAGCGGTTATTTATTAAATTTTACTCAAAATACTGAAGATGCTGTAATAATTTTCGACCGCTTGTTTTGCAATTATATGCTTTTGACAACTGATACCTACTTAACCTCAATTATTCTCTATTGTGTATATTGCCTTATTGCCACAATGGATTCTGAAAGTATAGTTCCTTTAATTGTTAATAATATTTTGAGTATTTTGGACGATTCAAGTTCTGATGATGATGAATTTCTAGTATTAACACATTTGATGAATGTGAGTGATTCCACTCGTTTAACGAGAATTGAACATTATGTGGAAAATGTGGTTCATTTATATTCAGATGATCAATTCCAATCACATTTTAGGTAGGTATGGAGTTATATAGTTAGTTCAAACTGTGTGTTACAAGGGTTCTGGGGTTTCAAATCCCAAGTAAGCCTCTGGTACAGCACGGCTGTCTGTGTTTGTATAGTGGGTCGTTGTTAGCCTACTATACAATAAGAATAAGGTCAATTAAAGTATTAAGTCACTAATTGTAATATTTGTAGAATGCAACGAAAAACATTTGACTTTATTTTGTCTTTAATTGGACCAAAAATTAGTGAAAACGTGGTCAAACCTGGACGACCAAGTGTATCCCCAGAAACACAATTGCTGCTTACGTTGTGGATTCTTGGAACACCTGATTCCTATAGGTGGGTCTACAGTTTCTACTTTTATCTACCTATTTTCAATGACCTTTTAATAGATCTGTATCGGATCGTTTTAATGTCGGAAAAGCAACTGCCGTTATCTCCGTAAGAAGAGTAGTAAAAGCGTTGTATGATCATGTACATACATTTATAAAATGGCCAATAGCAGATGAAATGGAAACAAGTATAAGAGTATTTCGAGCTGTAAAAGGCTTTCCAAATGTTATAGGTGCAATTGATGGCACCCATATTAGCATAACTGCTCCTAAGAATAATGCAGAAGCTTATGTGAATCGAAAAGGGTATCATTCAATGCAATTACAGGTAGGTAGTTATTTTCTGCAGGTACATGCTTGTGTAGTTAGCTGTTAGCTTACTACTTTTATTGTAGGCCGTCTGTAACGAAAATGGAATGTTTATTCATTGTTTCACTGGATATCCGGGAGCTGTCCATGATCAGCGAGTATTCCAAAACTCGGATTTACCAGAATTTTTTAGAAATGACACACAATTTCCAGATGATGTACACATTTTGGGAGACGCAGCATATAAGTTGCATAAGCATCTTATGGTACCATTTAAAGACAATGGTCATTTAACAGACATACAAAAAAATTTTAACATGTGTCACTCATCTACAAGAATGGCAATCGAAAGGGCATTTGGACTTCTCAAAGGCAGAATGCGGAGATTGTTAGATACTCTACCAATGACACGAGAAGATCTTATACCAAAGTACATCATAACGTGTTGCATTCTTCACAATATCTGCCTTTTAAAACAAGACCAATTTCAACCATTAGCTGTAGCTATTTCAAATAATGCAAGTGCTGTGGAAATACTGGCAACACGAGAACCGGATGGTGGAGGAAGAGATGTAGCCATAAGAAAACGGGATGTAATCGCTGCTGAATTACCTATGCAAATTGGTGCATGATTTTTACAAATAACGAGGATACGAATGAAAATAAATTTATTATACATTAATAAAAATAATTAGGTATTAGTATCATTACTTTTTCGAAATGTTATCAACAAGTGTGCGTAATAAACTTAATGCTTCTGTACTTTTCTCCATTCTTTCTTTATGATGCTTTTCTTTATCTTCTCGCAACTTGTTTAAAATGTCCACCAATTTTCTATTCTCTACAAAGCGAAATAAAAAATAAAACATTTAAATTTATGAGTTCATACTTTTTGGTGATTGTTTTTTCTTCCCCTCCGTTTTTGGTGAATTTTTGTTCGCTATTGCACATGTTGCTGAGGTAGAAGGTGTAATTGATGTACTGGTAGAGCTACTACTGGCAGCACTATTTACGCTCGCACTACTACTACTGGCTAAAGAAACTGGTACTAACCATGGTTGAGAAGAAAATATTTCATCCATTGCCTAATTATAATACCATAAATATTTATGTGTATCCATACAAAATACTTACTTCCAAATACGGCCAATCTTTTCTATCATTTCCCGATACTTTATTATGGTCCTTGACCTTTTTATATTGCCTTTTCAAAGTTGCAAGTTTTGTCTTACACTGACTGGCAGTGTACGTATAACCATGTTTAGCCATTAATTCGGCAATACTATTCCAAAAAGCTTTTTGTTTCACCTTCCCCTTCACTAATACATCCTGTTTTTCTCCATACAGGTTTAACAACAAAGTTACTCCTTCAAAGGACCAACGGCATAAATCTAAGTACAAATCTTGTTATAAATATTTCACTTATCAGTGTACTTACCATCAGTAGGGTAAAGACGTATAAGAGTACGCACTTAGTGATTGAAGTGAAATAATGTCCTCATTTTTATGTAGATATATTGATTTAATATGTCTTTGGTAAAAATGAGTGTTTCATAATTTATTATTAGTTATTACCACACTATGTTATTACTTAAATATGAGATAATTAACTTTATTTGTAACTCTGTATATGCGTACTCTTATACATAGACTTGTATAAGAGTACGCATGACAATGCTAAAGAGTACGCATATACTTTTTGAATGTAAAAGTGGTATGAAGAATCAAATATAATGAGAACAAACGTTTATTTAGAGATTATAGAAAAAAGAAACAATAGAAATAGAAAATACAATCAACTTATTCACTCTTCACAGCTGGCACAAACAAAATTTCCTGTTACATAGGTTGTACATGATTCTTCCCACCATTTGTTGCATTCAGAACATTTAATCCAGTCATCTTGAGACTTGGAATATAGTTCCCCACATCCTGGACAGCTCACGTCCTTTTCATCTTTGTCATTGTGTTTTTTCTTTTGCTGTTTTCGTGATGTTCCAGATCCTGAACTACTAACTACTAATTTTCTTTTCATTTTATCTGCTTTCCTTTCTTGTTTAGTTGTTTTTGCTTGAACCAGTTCCTCTAGTTCGTTTTTGAATGGGGTACTGGATAGTATTTCCGATTTCTGAGATCTAGATTTACAACGATTTGGCTTATCTTGTATTTGCGGCAAAGGTAAAATATCTGAAACTGGTATCGATTGATTGAAATAATTTTCTTCCACTCCTTGCAAAGTGTTTGGTATCACCACACCATCTTCACACACTATTTAACTATTGATAATATCTAATGATGGTGTCACGTGCATGACATCGTTGCTGACTGGTGGTGGTGTTATGTCCAATGGAATAGATAATTCGGCCTCCGAAATTTCTTCATTAGGCTGGTTATTTGATAAAACTGTGTTAATTATCACGTTCTGTTCCATAGCTTCGGTGACATTATTTTCATTTGTATTAGAACTGGTAGGAAAATCTGTGACCAAGGACGGTGCAAAATCAAGATCATCAAACTTATCTGGATTGTAGGGATAGATTCCAGTCGCCTTGAATGAATTTTCGGCCTTTTGAATGTTTGCAACGGTAGTGTAAGCAATGTTAAATAGTCCGGCGACTTGAATTTGTGTTATCACCTTCCCGGGATTATTTGTCATCCATTTATCACATTCTCTGCTGTATGAATTTTTCAAAGGGCCAAAGAAGCCAACGTCTAGGGGCTGCATCTTGTGGCTTGCATGGGGAGGTAAAGATAACAAATCTATGTGATTTTCCCTGCAATATTGTATGGCTTGTAAATCGCGATGTGAACTATGGTTATCAAGTATCAAAAGTATTGGATTTTCAGCGCTAGGTTTGGTGCAGTTCTTAAAATGAACCAACCACTGGCAAAATAACTCTGTATTAATAAATCCAGATTCAGACACCATTTTATAGGTACCCGTTGGTGCATTTAAAAAGAGCTCCTCTTTCATTCTTTTCCTGGGGAATATCATTGCTGGAGGAATGTACGTTCCTGTGGCGCTCATACAACATACAGCGGTTACAAGCTGTCCTCGGTCAGCACTCGCCACTTTTCCCACCAGTTTCTTACCTTTGCTACTTAATACCTTAGGTAATTTATTCGGCACTGTTGACAACCCCGTTTCGTCCATGTTGTAAACTGAACTTGCTATGTATTTCCTCTTTTCGTACAAAATTTTAAGATTTTCATAAAATCTGTTCACCTGAACTTTATTGAATCCCATGATTCGACCCATTGCACATTTCTCTGGTTGACGAAGTGATATATTATGCCGGTGACAAAAACCTTTTATCCAAGATGGGCCTGCCATTTTTGTGATTTTGTTGAATCGATGTTGAATGTTATTGACTTGAGCAAACTTAAATGCTGCTATTTGTAGATTCTTCTTAGTAATGCCATAAAATCGCGAATCTAAATCTCGTACCTGCTGTGCCAATTCAATTTCCATATTTTCAGGAATATCACTTCGAAATCGCCCTAACGATTTCGGAATAGTGCCACATTTTAATCGTTTTCGTAGGGTAGCTTCATTTATACCCATTTCTCTAGCTATACTTCTCTTACTACAGCCTTCAGTGATTTTACGCTTTATATCTTCCAAATTTTCCTCTGTAAAAACCAGCTTTCGGTCACTTTTTCTTTTGTATCGGCTCATACTCGTTTACTAGCAAACTAAAAAATAGGAAATTATTAAGACTATTTCGCTATTTAGACAGTAGGAAAGCATAAAAACCTTCTCGTGTATAAGAGTACGCAGTGCGTGCTCTTATGCTTTCAAAACTGCGTACTCTTAGACATACGTCAGAATTTTGGCATTATAAGCAATGTCTCGAAAAAAATAGCCACCCAATTAATTGTAGCTAAGAAAATAGTACGTAAGGTTATTTAGAAGCAAGAAATTGCATTAATCAATCTACAGAGTGAACACTTACCTCCAAAAACACTAAAAACTGACCCCTAGAAACTACAGTGTGAACAAGCGGGAACTTATAATCGCCATATTGTAAAAACAGCTTTGGTAATACAGATATCTGCTTTTGCCTGTATTAGAATGTGCAATTTACAATGGGCCGAGCCGCTCAAAATATCAAATAGATGGGAGTATATATTCAAAATAAAGGTGCGTACTCTTATACACCCGCGTACTCTTATACGCCTTTACCCTATCGTATCCGCTTTGTGGCGAAGTTGGTTCTGTGTAACCTTCAGTGGGATTATCGTGCACAGCAGCCTCGACATCAGCAGCTGAATCCGTGTGATCTTCCGTGGCATTATTGTGCATTCCATTAATTACAGCATGTTGCAATAAAGTAGATGCAAATGCCATGTCTACAAGTTAGAGAAATATTAGTAAGTCAAAGTAACATAATTATTGTATATATAATTGATATGAATACATAACAATTGTAGGTAATTAGGTATGCATCTTTTTTGGTTTACATACTAACATACCTTGTGTTGCCCTTGCATGATCTTCAACACTCAGCATTAGTTTATATTGTTTTTTGTGTTCGACGTCTACTAAAACTAATTCTCGCGTCTCCATGTCCATATTTCAGAAAAATTCACACTATTTTACTTTCACAAAAATATAACCTCAAAACGTGTTTACATTTACTTCGTTTACACCAGAAGTGATTTCTTGCGAGGTAACTTACGTGTACCTGAGTATGTACCAGTATGCTGGAAGTTACCTATTACATCACCGTTAATGACGTAATTGGTTGTATGGAAGTAAGATCACCTGAAAATCGAAAGTTAGGCATAACATAACCTTGTTTTGTTTCTGTGTTTTTGTTGTAATTTTTACTTGTACCTATGTGACATAGGCTATGTCGATATTAAGTAATAATAGTATGTGGATGAATGCATTATTAGAAGAGTTTTGTATAGATGATACTTTGACCACAAGTGTGCACATAGTAATGCATTTTCTATTAAAAGCCGTTCCTGAGTGGACCAAATTTATTGTATTGCAAAAGCAAAGGAAATGCCATTTTCGTATGCCACTTTGTTATGAGGAATGGATAACAAACTATCTTGATACCGATTTTTTTATTCATTTTCGAATGATAAAGTCAACATATTTCAAATTGACCACTGCAATTGGAAAAGAATTAACAGTAAAAAAATACAGAGGAGGGTTTGAAATAATACCTCTAAAGAAAGAAATCCTAATCACTCTCTGGTACCTTGCCAAAGGAGAAACGTTAGTGTCGATCAGTGATAGATTTAATGTTAGCGTGTCAAAAGCTTTCTATATTACCATGAAAATTATTAAAGTTATCTGCTCTCTTATGCCTATTTATATTAAGTGGCCTAATGCGGAAGATTGCGAACAAATTGCAAATGATTTTCAACAGCGTTGTAATTATCCAGGTAAGGACATTTTTAAACCGCACAGCAATCAGCGTAATATGTTGTTCCTAGATGTGATTGGTGCTATTGACGGTTGCCACATAACTTGTAAAATACCCAAGGAGCAGCATGACAGTTATCAGGATCGCAAGTTTTGCCATTCCATTACCCTTCAAGGAGTGTGTATTTCCTCCAGATTATTTACTAATATTTCTGTTGGTTATCCAGGATCTGTGCATGATGCACGAGTAAGATAGTTTATGCAAACCTACAATCATGCTGTTAATAGTTTTGTAGATACTTAGAGAATCGGACTTGGGAAAAATCTGTGAAACTAACTGTTTCAATCTGTTTTACGGTAGATACCACTTGGTGGGAGATTCCGCATATCCATTAAGGTCATGGTTAATAACTCCGTATAGGTAGACACAAATACAAATAATTGCACATAGGTATTTATTGTTGTGGTTTAGGAACACTGGAATTATGCCGCTGCAACGGAAACACAACTACGCACATAGTGTGACACGGGTTGTAATCGAAAATACTTTCGGCATGTTGAAAGGCCGTTGGAGGATTTTAAATTTTGTTAATGTATATACCATTGAAAAGGCTATTGATATTATAACCGCATGTTGTATACTGCATAATTTTTGCTTGTTAACTTGTGATATATATGAAGTAGATGTCACATCAAGTGAACATGATAGTTGTGATACTTATATTGGCCGTAGAGATCGTGAAGGGGCTAGAAAACGCGATTTGATATCACAAACTCTTTAATTCCTTTGTAAAAAAATTATAAATACTGATTTTGCTTGAATAGATATACATATAAAAATATAAACAATTTTTTAATCATCATCATCGCTATCACTAGAATGTCTTCTTCTTTTTCTTGTAGTTTTTTTAACCATTGATTCAAATAACGAAACTATTGTGGCTTTATGGGCATTTTGCTGCTCTAACAATTTATTCTGTGTAGTCATGAGGTTTTCTAATACCTTAAATTGGGAAGTTTGCATATCAATGTTTTCCTTATGCATCGTCAATAATGTTTGTATGACATCTGCTTTGGGTGGTTTTACCGATTTACGTATATTTTGGAAATGAGAATCTAGGTGTGGTGTATGGGATCTTGATAATGGGGTAGAGGATTCGAGTAGATGGGAAGATGATGTGGGTGTCTGTGATCGGGAGGAAGATGACGTGGGGGTGAGTGGTTGCTGGGAAGTTGTTGCACATGGCTGTGGTTGATGGATTACATTTAATTCATCTTGAGTATCTGCTAATTGCAGTGAATCCTTAATATGCCCTAATGTTATTTTGTGTTTATCACCCAAAATGTTATGTAATAGGTCATAATGAGGTGGTGGTTCCCGTGCTTCACCTCCTGTTGTTTTTACATGTTTTATAAAATTTATGTACATTTTGGTCAAATTCTGAAATTTTTGATAGCATTTTTTCCCTCCTTCTTTAGGATTTAGGGGAAATCCAGCACTACCTAGAAGCTCTGCAATTTTCCCCCATATAGACATTTTTACAGTTTTTTTGTCCGCAAATAAAGTTTGAAATTTTGCAGAGTTCCTTAGTTCCAACATGTATTCTGTAGCACGCCTATCAAGGTCGGTCGGTTTCCCTCTACTGCTCCAGATTTCTTGGTCGGTTTCAGCAGCTGCGACTGCGGTTTCAATAGTTTCAGGAGTTTCATCTGTAAACATTATGGTATAATTGAATTCATTCCGATAGCTTTAATATACTAAAAACTATAATTATTTTGCCTTAAGGGTCCCATATACGATACGATTGATCTGTAGAAACAGTGACATATCCTTTTAGATTGATCGTAACAACGGTTCACTCCTTATATGGAGTTTTGTAAGTATATTATAATGCTTATCGTAATGGATAAACGTCTACATACCAGAAATTCGAGAGATATCTATGTCGGCAATTGAAGTGCCTTTGCATACACCGAATTGTTCTAAAAATCCTTCCTCTATTGCCCTTGATATGTACTCTAGCACAAAATTGGCATCTACAAACAAAATGTGTTTATTTCTGTTATGTGTGGTTTTAGTAAGTATTATACGAACACATGCCTTTTGAGGTTCACTGATATAAGCAATTAACCTACCTGTTTTTAGTGCTGTTGCAACCACCCCACTATCCGAAAATGTTACAATTTCATTGTTAATTAAGAACTTCACCTCCACTAAAGTATCATCATCTTCTAGACTATTATCCATTATACCTATAAGTAATCTAGAATATAAAGTAACTATCAACCAAGAACTAATGTAAACTCACTACTCACATGTAAACATAAATAAAAGAACCAACCTCACAAATTGAGGTTAGAAAGTTAACTTTACTATTGCTTACTCCAGGTTGAAGGTAGGTAAGGGCATGTTACTTGGTTAGTGGTTACTCTAGCATACTACAGTATGACGTGACGTCATTAGTTACTCGCCAGAAATTGAAAGCGGTCTTACTGAAGGTTACTTTTCTCGCCAGAAATCGCCTCAGGTATTTTTCAGAAGTAAAGTGAGTAAACTGCAGTAAATCTCGCGCATGCGTGCATTCAAGTAGGATGTTATTTTCAGTAATATAGCAGTAAATTTATAACCGCAGATTTGTGTATTTTTAGTAAATGTAGCACTTGAAGTAAATTTCCGACCGTACCCAATAAAGATGTTTAATAGAATTACCTTTATTATAATTTCAGCAGCCTAAGCTCCGAATATAACATGGTGTCAGGTGTAAACCGTAAGAAATATTAAAAAGTAAGAAAGAAGGCATCTAATAATAACAAGTAGTAAAGTACTGAAAATTTAATAAGAAGAAAAGTAAGGTTAAGCACGTGAAAATGGAATCGTCTTTCAAGCCACCTCCGAATTTGGTGTTTGACCAACAATTAAACAAGAATTTTGAGATGTTTAAGAATGCTTTTGATATATACATGGAAGCATCAGGTTTAAGTACTGCCGAAGAAAAAAGAAAAATTGCGATATTTCTCAATGTAGCGAGAGAAGAAGCACAAGAAGTATACACAACGCTAGGTCTCACTAATGAACAAAAGGCAAAGTATGATGAAGTAATTAAAGCTTTTCAAGAGTACTGTAAACCGAGAAATAATGAAACGTATGATAGGTTTAAATTCTTCTCGAGGAACAAGAATACGGAAGAAACATACGACAGTTTCATAAAAGACTTGAAAGTTTTAGCGAAGCCCTGTAATTTTGGAGATCAGGAGGACTCACTAATACGGGACAGATTGATTTTAGGTATCACTGATGTAGTGCTGCAGGAGAGGTTACTACGGCAAACAAAACTAACTTTGAAGGATGCGGAGCAGCACTGCAGGCTCACCGAAGTTACCAGAAGGCAAGTTGAAGGCCTAAAAGAAGAGCATGCCAAGGTAGACATCATAAGAAAAGGAAAGAGAGATCAACTCGCAGCAACAGGTGGCAAGACAACAAAAACACCAGGTAATACGTATGATTGTCGTAAATGTGGGAGAAATCATCAAATAGCACAATGCTTTGCGTATGGACAAACGTGTCACAATTGTAATGGACTGAATCATTTTGCAATTGGGTGTAAATTTAAAAATTGGAATAAGAATAAGTTTATGCATGGAAAGAATGTTAGTAGTAAGAAAAACAAAATCAATAATTTAGAAGTAGCGGGTGTAGAGGACGATGATGATGATGACGATTGTTATATTGATTTAATTAGTTTAGATAAAATAGGGTGTGAAAGTAGCATTAAGCTATGGAAGGAAAATGTAACAATTAACGGTATTAAAATTTCTTTCAAATTAGACACGGGCGCACAGTGCAATGTGTTGCCTTTAAAATGGTTAGAGAAAGTACAAAAACAAAAAGAGTTAAAAGAAATAAATCAGACAATAATAACATATGGTAATAATAGAATAAAAGTAAAAGGATATGTAATTTTGAATTGCAAGTTAAGGAATACAGAGTATAAATTAAAATTTATTGTGGTAGATGTAGAAAGTGATCCAATTTTGGGATTAAATGCATGTGTAAAACTAAATTTAGTTGCAAGGCTTGATTCTGTCAGTCAGTTAAAAGAAAATGGGAGTAATGGAAGGGACCCAAAAGAAAAGTTAAAATTTGCATTTATAAATGAAAATAAAAATTTGTTTGAAGGTTTAGGTAAAATACCCATGGAACATAGAATTAAATTAAAAAATAATTATGTGCCATTTGTAAGCGTTTGTAGAAGGGTGCCAGACTCGCTAAAAGAAAAATTAAAAACGACTTTAGAGGAGCTGGTACAAAAAGGTATCATAGAAAAAGTAGAAGGTCCGTCTGAGTGGGTGAATAATATTGTAATCATAGAAAAACCAAATGGAAAGTTGCGGATTTGTTTGGATCCACAACAGTTAAATAAAAATATTTGTTTAGAACAATATCCTATACCCACTATTGACGAAATTGGAGTAAAATTAAAAAACAAAAGGGTTTTCAGTGTAGTAGACATGAAAGATGGATTCTATCAAATACCAATTGATAAGGAAAGCAGTAATTTATGCACGTTCATTAGCCCATTTGGTAAATTTAAATTTTTGAGGTTACCATTTGGATTATCAATAAGCCCTGAGGTATTTCAAAAAATTAATGAAAAAATTTTTCAAAATCTTGGAATAGGAATTTATTTTGATGACTGCATAATTGCTGGTAGGGATGAAAAAGAACATGATGAGTTAATGAACAAGTTTATAGAACGGGCAAAACAGTACAACATTAAATTTAATCCTGATAAATTACAATATAAGGTCAGTAAAGTCAAGTATTTAGGGCAGGAGTTTTCTCATGAAGGTGTAAAACCAGACCCTGATTATATTGAAGCGATCACATGTTTAAGTGAGCCGTCAAATAAGAAGGATTTATTAAAGATATTAGGTATGGTAAATTATTTGAGTAAATTTGTACCCAAACTATCAGAACTTTGTGGTCCTCTAAGAAAATTAATAAAAAATGATGTTGAGTTCATATGGGGTAATGAACAGAGAGAAACATTTAACAAATTAAAATTGAGCATTATTAATATTCCAACACTTAAAATATTTGATTCAAAGGAACCCATAGTAGTACAAACAGATGCAAGTCAGTATGGCATGGGTGGTGCTTTGTTGCAGGGAGGTAAACCAGTAGCATTCTGTTCTAGAAGTCTAACCGAAACTGAGACAAGATATGCTCAAATAGAAAAAGAGTATTTGGCCATTTGTTATAGTTTAAATAAATTTCATCAATTTATTTATGGAAAGCGAATAACAGTAAATTCAGATCACAAACCTTTAGTTGCAATACAGGAAAAAGATATAAATAAAATAACATCTAGATTGCAAAGAATGAGACTAAAAACACTAAAATATAATTTCAAAATAGAATACTTACCAGGAAAACAAATGTTTATTGCAGATCTATTGTCTAGATTTTATATAAATAAGAATACGATGGATGATCCTGAAATGTTAGAAGTAGTTCATTGTGTTGAAATGGAATTACCAATCTCAAGAGATAGGTTAGAGGAGATTATAAACAAAACAGAAACTGATCATACATTAAAAATAGTCAAGCAATTTTGTGAAAGTGGGTGGCCAAACCACAAAAGTCAATTTAACAATGCAGAGTTGAAACATTATTTTAAAATTAAAAATGAGTTAGTAACCAAAAATGGTATTATTTTCTATAATAATAAACTAGTTGTTCCAGAATCCTTAAGAAAATATATGTTACAACAACTGCACAAGGTTCATTTTGGGATAGAAAAAACAAAAAGGCGGGGTAGGAAACTTTTCTATTGGCCTAGACTTTCGTCAGACATAGAAAATTTTGTAACTAACTGTGGAGTTTGTAAAAAGTTTAGTAGGGCAAACGTTAAAGAGCCACTAATCCCTCATGAAGCTCCAGAATTACCTTTTGAAAAAGTAGGCTCAGATATATTAGAATTTAATCGAAATTCATATTTAGTGGTAGTTGACTATTATAGCAAGTGGATCGAACTGAAAAAATTAAATAACAAAACTGTTAAGGAAGTCATTACCAAACTGAAAGAAATTTTCTCTACCTTTGGAGTTCCATCCAAATTTGTATCAGATAATAATCCATATAATAGTTTAGAGTTTAAAAAATTTGCAAAAGAAATCAATATGGAACTAAGTTTTGCTAGTCCGAGGTATCCAAAATCTAATGGACTTGCAGAAAAAGCTGTAGGAATATGCAAAAACATGTTAAAAAAATGTGAAGAAACAAACTCTGAAATTTTTGGTCATCTGCTGGAGTATAGGGCAACCCCACTGTCTGGTTTAGATGAGTCGCCAGCAGAATTATTGAATAGCAGAATGTTACGTACAACATTACCAATTACTAAAACTCAATTAAAACCTAAAGTAGTTAACATAAATACAGAGGCAGTAAAGCAAAGACAAAAGAAAGCAAAGTTGTACTATGATCGGAATGCAAAAGCTCGTCCCGAGTTTAAAAACAATGAGCATGTCTATATAAAGAATGATCAAAATTCAAATTGGAGAACTGGAAAAATTATTAGTAAAGGTAGCACTCCCAGGTCATATGTAGTGTGCGATGAAAAAGGGTCAGTACTAAAACGAAATTCATGGTTTTTGAAAAAAGCGGGCACAGCTTCAATAACAAATCGAAGGTCAACTATTGATAGTAACATTGACATAGATGAGACAAACAGTACAGAGCAGGGTAGTGATAAGGTAGAAAATAGCGTAGATGATAAGGTAGAAAATAGTGTAGCTGTAGATGGTAAGGTGGAAAATCAAAGTGAAGGTGACAATAGTGATGGTGGAAGTGATAAATGCAAAAATCGTGAGGTAAACTCGGAACCAAGTACAAAACGATTAAAAAGAGAAATCAAAATGCCTATTAGATATAAGGATTATGTATAGGTTAAGTAAATTAGCATTAGTTTAAATTTGTAATCGAAGTTATCTTGTTGAAAGGGAGATGTAACATAATGTACAAGTTAGGTACATGCGCCACTACCGGACGTCAACCTACAGACGACATCGGTTCAATCAATAATAAAGATGTTTAATAGAATTACCTTTATTATAATTTCAGCAGCCTAAGCTCCGAATATAACAATTTTTGTTAAAGGCAGCCAACCTGGCAGCAGTACTTCGGGTTTACATAGTGAAAAATTAAATTTTGTCATGAAGGCTTGAACAAAATCTTTTCCTGCTCTTTTCTTATCTTTATTGAATCTATGTGGAATGTTAAGTGATTCCGCATAATCGAAAGCAATTCGGGCAAACTGTTCCCTAGTAACTCAAAAAGCTCTTCTATCTACATCCTCAACGTATTTTTTAAGATTCAGGAATTGATCTTCAGAAAATGTGGTTTTAAATCGTCCAGCACTTGTAGGGAAATTCTAAAAAAACAACATTTTTACTTAGTTGAGAGAATTATAATTAATTATAAGACCTACGTTATTGGGATAGTTTTGGCATAACGTCTTAAAGTCGCTTCCGGTATGTTAAACCTCTTTGCCGTGGCATTTACTGAATCTCCCTGCTTTACTTTGTTTAAAGCTTCAATCATACATTCGCGAGACCATCCCTGTCTATTTGTTTTCCTGTGATAGGTTTTGCCCATTATCGGTATTTTTGCAACACTATTTAAAAAAAAACAAAGGTAATAGGTATACATTTTACGAAAAAACAAACAAATTCAATTTTTTGGCAATGAGGATAAGATGACGAACATTTCGGGTAAAATGACGAATTCGTCATCTTAGCCGTATTGTTTATTCCGTCATCTTATCCGATGGGTTTTTTTCAGTTATGTCAAAATATATTTGCAATGAACATTAAAAGCGAATTGCGTCATCACTCAACGATATCAGAACACCAAATTCTGCCATTAAAAAAATCCTACAGATATAAGAACTTACCGTTTTCAATTTATACACTATTTAAGTGAATGAAAATATTACAACAACTGCACGAGTTTTTTAAGTAACTGGCATGGCTGACTTGTGAAGCACCCATAATATGGAAGCACCAAACATGCGCGAGTACCACGGGGGTGGGAGGTATCCTAATAGCGCGTAATTCAACTGTAGAAATCGGCGATATCTGGTGGTTGAGCCTTTCAACAAACGATTCGTCATCTTACCCGACTAGCCATCTTACCCTCCCTTCCCCTGCAACAATTTTATCGTTCGACGGAATTGTCTCACATTTGTGTCCCATGTAATACTTAAAGGCCCAGTGAAGCATAAATTGTGACTACATTGAAACTAAAGATAATATTCTTAGAAACGCAACAACAAAAATCCCGTGTCAGTGTCATGTCCCGTTTCCTAGTTACAGGGGTTTAAATATTTACTACGAATGCGGTGACGTCACCGCACCCACACTTACCGGTTATTATACATTTGCAGTTGCGTATTATCTGCCTAACGAGATATTACCACAGATTTAAATATACTACAGATGGATCATGAGATAGGCGATTGTGGAAACGCAACAAACGTTCCAGTTGCTAGCGCACCTATATGAATTTTATTAAATCGAAAGTTTTAGTTTGCGTCTCAGCTTAAAATAATCAGCAGGAGTCTGTATAACGATGGCATAGAAGGTTTTTACTATTGATGGTGCTGAAAAGCAATATGATATGAATTTTTTCTTCGTAATTAAAACAATGGGTCTTTGTATTGTGTGTTTGTGTTCAATTACGACCTTGTGTGGGCGTATCTGTGGCCGTTCTCTCTCCTTTAATTTAAATTAATAAAATCCAAGAACAATTTTTTTCTATAGAATGGTAGTTTCAGTTTCAGCCTGAAAATTAAAATTCTGTAATCAACTACTATCAATCGAAAGTTTTGATATGTCTATACGTTCATTCAAGGCATCGCCAAATGAAATTGAAACCAGGTGTAAAATTCTTGCAGAACAGCTTTTTATAACTACTCGAAAACTTCACTCGTTATCTGTTTGTTTATTTTATCTTAATTTTACTTCCCGCACTTCAGTAAGGGAGGTATTGCAGTGGGGTAAAAAATGACCCCTATCTTTTTTTACGGGAATACATCAAATACATGTTTTGAGGCACCAGGAATTCGAATCAAACAAAATCTCGATGATGTATACCGGGTGATTTATATCAAAGTTGTACTTTTTTAAATAGAACTCATCTATATTATTACATATTTCGATTACTTGGTCGATTTTAGTGTGACTTTATTTACACATGATATCTAAAATGAGTGGCTGAGCGTCATTTTTTAAAAAAATAGATGTCCAGTAAAAATTAAAAACGAAGTTTCCATAAAACTTAGAAGGTCATGACGCTGCAGTATTACTAATTATCACGTGTGCTTACCTACATACGCCGAAAGGTCAAAGTTAAACTTTTTTTGTGCTAAAAGAAATCACTGTCAATTTTCAAAATTTCAATCAAAGATAACTTGATTTTTTTTAATGAAACTACCCAGTTTTTTATTGCATCAAATGTAGGATTTGATTACCTTTCTAACGATATAAGCACGCCGTATTTACCTTTGATACATATTTTTGTAATTCAACCATTTCTAATAATACACAAGGTTTTTCGCTTTTCAAAGCCTCTCAGTAATTAATAGACCGTTAAAAGTTATAAACACCTATTCTAATTATAAAACAGGGAGTTATATTTAAAAAAGTGCAACTTTGATATAAATCACCCTGTATAACAATTGCAATTTCGTTGAAAATATTTTTAGGTTGTAGCCTGAAGAGTCCTTCAATATGCCCCGACAATGAATTTTAAATATTCTTTTCAAATCCTAAGTATTTAGTAATCGCGCTAATATCTCAAAATATATCGAAGTACTTTCTTCACTATTTTGTTCCGCATTATCATGCAGCCTTAGAAATTCATTACTATACCAAGAACAGAATGGTTCCACGTATATATCGTGGAAATTGTAACGTCTACTGCGGTCTCAACTGGGATGCAACATTTTCGATCTCACAGAAATTTGGTATCTGCGTCTCTTTAAGAGAAAAATAACGAAACCAAAATTGTTTTTGAAAATTCGAATTTTAACTGCAATTCTGGACCAGACATAGGCCTACGGTAGTTTTTAGCTCATTTTTTCAAAGTAGGATCGATGTCAAAACTCTAATTGCATCTTCATTTGTTCTTAATAGAAGCCTTTGGCCGGCTGACTGGCTGGTTGGATGGCTGCCTGGCTGGCAGCAAATGAGGGCCTGTAGACAATCGCATGTAGAAAGACGAGGAGTGTACGTGTCCATACGGGGCCGTGTATTAACAACTTTAGGGACGGGGCTACATGATGTGGGGACGGCGACATCTGGGCGCCATCCCCACGCGTGGTTTACTAACGTGGTAATTTTTAGTTTTTCCTATCTTCTTCTACAGTTTTGGCCGAGGTCGAACCCATAATCGCACGTCAGGATACAATTTTACAAGTCGTACGACAAAATCGTATAATGTGAATCTTGAAATATTTGGTTATGGCAACTTGCAAGTCGCAAGAAAAATCGTAATCAAAATCACATAACGTAAATTGTACTTATAAGAATCCCCCATTTACACGCTTCTAACTTGTATTTGAACTTACCACAAACAAAAGTTTCGTCAATAAATTACCAGTGGAACGGAGAAGAAAAAATAACTTTTTGTCTCATAGGCACAGCCAAATTATCCCTTAGAGCCTTGGGCGATTAATTTAACAGCCTCATTTACAGATATGCTTTGTGCCTCGATCTTTAACAGGGCTGCGCGTGTAGAAAAAGCAACCAAATTACAGAGCTAAAATTTTCAAACAATTACTTCAAAATATTCAGACATTGAGATACTCAAAAAGTACCTAGTGTTTTCACATAACAATATTTTGAAAACTCTTTCGAATGCAGACATCAATGCGAGGCACCTTGTTTTAATGTAACCCAACAGTTTTTGATACTTTCTATCAGCGAAGTCGTAGAACTCTTTGAGTATTTTTCAATGCGAACAGTATAAATGTTAAAAAAATAAGTCAATTTTAACAATGGTGAACTCAAATCAACAATCCTTATAAGTTTTGTTTTTATTTCAGGGACGACCTCCATTGCAAAGGCCTTGTTGACACCTTTTACTATTTTTGCCACCAAAATTACTTACAGTTACAGTTGTCTCCACAAAACCCCACAACTTTTGATTTTAAATCATTTAATGTTAATATACTTCCTTACAATATTCAACGATTATATCCGATCTTATGGACATTTCATGCCTTCTTGAGAATACAAAAATGAAATAACAAACAGACAGACAGGTAGACATATCAAGAGCGCCAAAGTGTGAACAGTTTGTTTTTTGAAAGTGAAAGTGTACTAAAAACGGAACTGTCACGTTCAAAACGGGACGTTTGGTCACATCTCACATTCGACTCATATTCGCTAACTTGACTTAAATTCTCAGAGACGCCTATTGTTAGGTACCTATGTTGTTTCTCACAAAGACAGGCCTAACACCTTCTCTGACTAATTAATAAAAACTTCGTCTACGTCATAATTGTGCTTTTAGATCGTCTTATCATTAAAATACTCTTAAAATCTAAATACGAGCACGGAACACGCCAAGCTGTGATCAGAGATGTAGGCATTATAACCTAAGTCGCACAAAATACCGTACCTACTTATAATCAAAAATAAATCAATTATACGGTAAACATCCTGCATAATTACAAATCTTGTTGGTTTGACAGAATAAGGTATAATCAGTCGCCGGTTCGCCCTTCCGAGTTCCCATATAATATAAAGGAATGTGTATCTGTAACTAACATAAACGCATGCTAGCAGAAAAATTGCGAGTGTAAATGGGGAAGGTCAGTTACATACAATACATTTGTTGAGCTCTGTGTAATCGGATACCCCACTTTATCGCAACAGTTCTTGGCTTTCTTATTGCAGTTGTAAACCACGCGCAAGTTATTCATTCTACAGCGCTTCCTTGTGGACGCGGAATAACACTAATTTAGTTTGGATTTAACGCACCAGAGGCTTAAATCCAAATCACCGTTGCCAGAATTTAACATGGCATGATCCATCTGTAGTATATTTAAATCTGTGATATTACGTTGTACCACAGATTATCTGTGTTTATACTAAAATGACACGGTGTTGTGCTTATAAATGTAGAAATTCTACTAATCAAACTGTACACTGAGAAAAATTTCTATTAACAGTAAACAAAAATATATTAGCCACAGTAAGATTTCTGCATTAAATAGGTCTTAAATGAGCCCTCTACTTGCTACTAATAGAGTCATTTTGCTATGATGCACCTATTTGCTGTAAAGACTTATTGCCACTAATAGATGCGTTTATTTGCTTCTACAAAAAGTTTATTTGTGGCAAATAAGGTGATCTATTTGTAGTAAATATATAAACTGCTACTATATTTGCGGTAAATAAGCTACTCATGTATGGGAAATAAACGCTGTATTAACGGCAACTATTTGGTTATTTGCCGTTATTAGATCATTTTGCTGCGATTAATACGGCATCCATTTGTAGTAAATAATATGCTTATTTATGGCAAGTAGACATTCAATTAATGGGCATCCATTTGTAGTAAATAATATGCTTATTTATGGCAAGTAGACATTCAATTAATGGTAGGCATTTTTTAAATTTCCCATTACAATACACATTGCTGCGGTTAATATTGCACCTATTTGTATCTACTAAACTAATTGCTTCTTATGAGAAATAAACACTTCATTAATGATGAGTGTTTTACTATTTCCTGTAATAATATCATTTTGTTCAGGTTAACAAGTGCATCTATTTATAGTAAATACCTTGCTTATTTATACTAATTAGAAGTTTTGTTAAGACCTTGCAGGACCATGATTCTTAATGTGAACAGTTGCAGCATTAAATTAATACAAGTTAAAAGTTAGGTACCTATATTCGTACTATGTATTGCGCTCCTTTGTGATTCTGTTTCAAATAAAAGGTATCGCCTAACAATGTCACTTCCATTGTGATTGGTAAATGAAAATTCAAATTGGGTAAATCTTTTTTATTGCTGACTATAATAAGCAATATTTTACAACAAAAACCTTAACTTTATATAACTTAACTAAAGTATGGTGGTGTGGTGAACGAAGAAAATGTTAATTACAAGTAGATACATTACATCGCTGTGGAGACCCGCAGTGGATGCGGATCGGAACGAGAAAGAAGAGTAGGCGTTTGTCATTAGATAGAGAACTGTCATGGAACTGTCTATGAGTTAAGATGTGTTTGTTGGAGTTGAAA